TCTAGTGCAAGGTGTCCCTGCCCATGGCAGGGGGGTTGGAAGAAGATGATCTTTATGGTCCCTTCCAACCCAAACCATTCCATGATTACATGAACGAGACAGGATTTTGTGATACAGAACTTCGGCTACAAACATTATAAACCAATCTGAACAAACTATTTTTTAGCAGGTCTTTGCCAAGTCTCTGTCCCACAGACAAAAAAAACCACAGGGAAACCAGGAACAATCCTCTGACTTAAATGCTGCAACACCCACTACATGACAACAGTCTGAAGCTTGTTTCTTTTTCCTGATGATTTTATAACAAAAACTGTAGTTTCCAGTTGCATTCTAAGTCATTATTTACTTGATAATTCACTGCTTGGTTTTGCTTATCTGTTACATTTGATTGTATTCAGAATTATTTCCCTGGCAACTAAAGGTGAGTAACAAGATAAGCCCTACAAACCCCAGCCCTTTAATGCCTCTCTGTATAAACAAGGCTATTCTTTCAGCAACAGCACACTTTCTTTTCTAACTTGGAAAATGAATAAAAGGAAATTACATTGGAAAGAAAACAAAGAAATCCACCACAGATCACCAGATGAGAGAGAAGTCTAATCCATCAGCCACCAGCGGTGGCAGTGCTGCAGAGAAGTGAGCTGGAGTAACAAACTGTACACAGACAGGCCCTGAATGCACAAAGCAGTCTTCCTAATCCCATGCACGAAGGGTTGATCTCTGTCCTGAAGAATGACTTTCCACTAAAAAGTTGTTCCATATGCCCCGAACACTTCTTCCCATCAGAAGAGTATGCTTGAAGAGCATCACTTGAAAGATCACTCTGTGCCGTGTTTTGAGATGACAAGCACAGGGATGTTCCTTCAACTGCACTGCTCGAGTATTTAATTTTCTCTCATTATTCCTGATCTGTACCCCTGCAGAATCCTAACTTCTTGAAGAATTCCCAGATAAAAGGTGTTAAAGAGCTTTGCAGGAACGGGAAATGCTTTTTGATATGAACTGCTAAGAAAGCAACCCCAGGTTCAGAAATGCAGGTTCACCTCATGTACCCCACATGAGTACAACCCACACACCTTACTACTGGTTATAGCTGGGATCAAAGACAGAACAGAGGAGAAGACTCCATGGGTCACCACGCCAGCACGTCAGCCTAACTGTGCCCCAACAGACAGACCGGGATCTTCTCCAGTCACACTGCTGCCACAGCCACACTGTGGGCTGCACTGTTGTGCAGTGAATCTACAGTCACGTCACACGCTGAAGAGCCGGTACTAACCACACGCATTCCCTAATTCAGGAGCACCAAGTACTCTTCTGCTGTCCCTTACGTCCTGTCTCTTATAGCAGACGTCCCACATGTCCAGCAGCATCTGTCCGAAAGGCAGGACACGTGAAGCCCAATTACCACCCAAGAAGGTAAGCAAGCTGAGGCACAAGACTGTCACAACCTTGTCCGTGGCACCTGTTCCTTGCTCACACGCCACTGCTAACACCCAGACTCCCAGCACTTCGGTGGCTGTTGCTGAGCAGTTGATCCCATGGCTAGGTGCTAAAGAGGGATGACTACAGTTACATCGTTCCTGGTCAGCAAGGTGTAAATAAAGAGCGGCAGAATGAAAAATAATTCCCTGATCATGTTATGATGCGTGTTTCTATTAGAACTGTATTTTGCAAATAAATCAAAACACCTAAAATCAGAAAACCTGCTGTATCATCTGTGGTGGAACAAGACAGTGATCTCCACTGAGTGATTTCAGGTCTGTAGTACAGGGGTTTATCATTGCAGGATTACACAACCTAATCAAACAAACTATGATGTATAACATGCTGCAGATTGCTGTTCTATCTAAAGAAAGGCACGCAAGAGCAGAGATTTGCTGAGGCTGGAAGGGAGCTCCTGAGGTCACCCAGTCTAAGCAGGGCCAGGCAGAGCAGGCTGCCCATGACCATGTCCAATCAGGTTTTGAACAGGTCCAGACTGGGACTCCACAGCCTCTGGGCAATCCTCACAGGG